AAAAAAAAATAAGCTAAGTTAACCTAATGTATGTAGCCAAAACGTTGTCAAAAACTTGCATACATTTACAATAGGTGTCTTAAATTAAGTTAATATNATAGGTGTCTTAAATTAAGTTAAGCATGCTCGATAATAGTACTAATGTATACAGTAAAATATATGCGAAACATACACAGTGACCATCTCATAAAATTCAGTGTCCATTTATTATATATATAAAAAAAAAAATACATACAATAGGGTATTTTGATTTAGGCTGACTTGCGCCTTAGTTGCGGGACGATTATATTATATAAATTATCCTATAATAAGGGTAGCCGTAATAACGGCTGTTTAGAAGACCACAATTTTTGCTGCTGTAACAACTTAGTTAACTTGTATATATTAAATGTGCATGTCGAATTAATTTTATAAAGAAATAATTTATTTAAAAATATTAGCTGGCTCGCTCTATTAGTACCAATTGTAATTATAAGTAATGGCTATTCAATAAGGTCATAATATGTTAACAAAAGGATTTATTGTTGTAAACATATGAATAGAGTCCGTTATTCAAATTTGTCACGTAAGATTATAGCTAAGATTATAGGGGATTATGTGGGGATGTGGCGACCGTTGACTGTATAGTGTTGTTCATTTTATGTTTGACCTATTTGGACTGAAGATGCCTGGAATGTTATATTGGAAATCATGTTTGGTAAGTACCACAATAAAATAATTTTTTAAATTTAATAATAACCAAGGGTTTTATTTGCCACAAATATTCTTTCAAACCCAATTTTATAAAATTCGACACTATTTATTTTTCAAAATAGATTATTTAGAAGTAAATTTTCTTAAACCTCGTGTATCGTGCATTTTATATCACCTTATAGTATCGAGTAAAAGTAATTTCATAATATATAATAAATAAAGGGAAGTCGGGCTAAGCCGATCGAAATAATAAATGTTATGTTATAACATTGTTTGTTAATTAGAATAAAATTATGCCATTATAAAAATATGTCGATCTAGTCGAACAGAATAATAATAATAAGCCATAAGTATCAAAGAAAATAGTTAATAAAAATTAACATTATAAGTAAGCCATAATTTTCAAATAAAATAATTCAAATATACCATAACGTAATGTATCGGACTGGCCGAAAACAATAATAAAATATATGCCAAAATCAAATTATCGGATTTACCGAAAATAATAGTAATATAAAAATATATATCGGTTATACCGGATAAAATAATATATAATAATGTTCTAATGAACTAAGTCGGACTTTGCCGAATTTAAGTAAAAATATGCCACAATGTAATAAGTCGGACTTTGCTGAATATAATAAATAAACAGATGTTTAAATGCTGTAATGTGGCTGGGGCCCCAAAATAATAATATAATAATAATAATATAACAATACTATATATTTCAATAGTAATAGTAATAAGGACTTATTTTTCTAGCTAGAAATTACTCACCCAATGGTCGACAACAAAGGGCGGATAGAACATAAATATGCACGAATCGTGGTAATTTGATGTCTCGGTGATCAAGTCGTTACATACGAAATTACACGAAGATTTTAAGGCCGTGGTTTGGATGTTCTATTAAAAGGGACTGTGGCTCAAAGTAAAATGACAAAAGTCATGGTAATGGTCGTGACATTGACCATGGCTATGGCGTGGCGGTGGCGTTAGTGGTGACTGGATATGAATGGCTATGAAAAATGGCGAGATGGCAAAATGGCAATTAGGTGAATGCAACGTATACACTATAGAGATTAATAATTAAATAAATTGTAATTATATTGTCGTCTCATTACTATGCATATTTTACTATTTTAGTGCTAGCCTAGGGTGGCTCTTATTTTTCAAAGTTTTTTTTTTGCCCGGAAGCCCCCTAGAATTGTTCTATAGGTTAAAAAAATACATTTTGTGAAGTTTCGTGATTGTCCAATGATTTTTTCCCGTGTCGCAGAAGGGTTGAATTTAATAAATTGGGGTAAAAATTAGTTTTTTACGTATAACTTGTTAAATTATACTTGAATCAAAAAAATTTACTGATCTTTCNAGTATTGCTTTTTGTCTTCTTTTTTAGTAATTATCGAGTTATACTCTTCAATTAATTTCACTGATCTTTCTGCAGTATCGTTTACAACTTTTAATCTTCGCACTATTTCTTGACAGTCTAGATAATATATATTTAAATTCCATCGTTCGGGATCTTTGCTTAAAAAACTAGTTTTCATATCAAAACGTTTAAAAAAAAATTTTGAGTTTGCCTTAATGAACTTGTCAATAGTTTTACTTACAAAATGTTTTATATTTCTTGGCGGATTAATTTTTTTTAAGTCTTCACATTCATTAGTTTGTAATGATTTTACCATAAGTCTTTTTATTTCAACAGGTATTTGATCATCAAAAAATGCCATTGAGGCATTTTCAGACGCGAGATACCATCATTGGTTGTTAAATTTAAAGTGCTATTAAACCTACGGCATCGTCAATTTTTGTGTATTCATAAACATTTTTCATGCATTCTAAGTCCATACGAGGAGCTTCAATAAAATTATTTTCAGAATACCAGTATTTTAAATAAATTCTTACCAAAAATATACAAACATCACGAACATCAACCCGTTCGTCATTTGTTAGCTCGAAAGACTCTCGAAAAAGAAAAATTTTTAAACAATAAATGGCTTTNAAATTTTTAAACAATAAATAGCTTTTGCCATCCATCTATCTGGCGTGATGAAAAGCTTCAGGAGATCTAATAGAAATATTTGTATAATGATCACCGCCAAGAAAAATAATGGCCAAATTAAGAAGTTCTCTATAGTCTTCTCTTGGTTGATTAATTTTTATTTTTTCCATTATAAACAAAATTAATTTACTTTCTAAGCCGTTTAATTGTGTTTTAACCGTAATATTTTCTAAATCTGGATTTATTGTACAGTCTTTAATCTGTGCCCAACTTTTTTTAAATTTTTTAAACAATGGTATATTTGGTCCACTAGATAAAGTAATTTTATAAAAGGTCCCTTTCGAGGTATTGCTCTAAAATAATATAAGCACCTTGTTATCTCCCCATATTAGAGGCTGTTGTGTCGCAACAAATAGCCTGAACTTTATTTTCAATATACCATTCTACTAATAAACTATGAATTGCTGAAGCTTGTTCTCTTCCTGTACTTGATTTAATAAAAGGAACGCCTAGAAGTTGCTCATTACCATTGAAACTTATAAGTACAGGTAGCCTATCAATTTTTACGCTAATAAAAACTGAATTACGCAAAAAATTAGAATCAGGAAAAAACGGTGTATTTATGTGTTTTATTGATTATTCAATTAAATAAGCAATATAGAGTAAAAAATAATATTATATATTTTATAGGAAATACATTTTTAAACAAATTTTATTCAGTAAATTTTTTTGATTCAAGTAAAATTTAACAAGTTATACGTAAAAAACTAATTTTTACCCCAATTTATTAAATTTAACCCTTCTGCGGCACGGGAAAAAATCATTGGACAATCACGAAACTTCACAAAATGTATTTTTTTAACCTATAGAACAATTCTAGAGGGCGTCCTGATTGAATTTAATAAAAAAAAAAATGACCTATGTAGATAAGGACCACCCTAGTGCTAGCCCCGGGCCGAGATTTGAATGGATTTTATATTCTAGAAACGAAAGGTTTTAACTGGTCTACGTGAACAGGCGACTCGACCAAAATATTGTTTTTTGGCATATATATCAAAAAACTATATGGACCTATTTTCTTTAAAATAACATAAGGGCCTTCATACCTATCTGAAAATTTATTACCCTTTACCGGGACTTTAACTAAGACTTTGTCTCCCGCTTGAAACGATTGAAAATTATTCGATGATAATAGTTTTTGTTTAGTGTGTTCGGATTGTTTCTCTAATAATTGGGGTAATGATTTTCTAATATGTTTGATTTTATTAATTTCATCGATAACGTTCCCATCGGAAGGGGGAATTAGTGCAATATCAAACATGCTTTTAGGATTATAGCCGTGAACTAAATAAAATGGCGTATAATTTGTAACCGAATGTATTGAAGTATTATAGGCGTATACAACGTATGGTAAATAATATACCCACTTATTGTTATCCTGAACATAATGTGATATCATGTCTATAACTGTTTGATTTTGCCTCTCCACCTGACCTTGTGAAGTAGGCTTGTACGGAATTCCGAATTTTTTGTCTACCCCAAAAGCGTCCATTAGGTCTAAAACTGTCTTTGACGTAAAATGAGTTCCATTATCTGACCTAATTATCCTAGCTGGACCAAATCTTAAGAATAAGTCTAAAAGAAATTTGTTGGTACTACGCGCATTGGCATTTGTAAATGGTTGAGCTACGCAAAATTTTGATAAACGATCAGTAGCTACTAAAATATACTTATAAGATCTCGACTTTGGAAGGGGACCAACATAGTCAATAATTATCTCACTCATAATCTCACACTTGTCTAAATCGTATCTCCCTATTTTCGGTGGCTTACTTTGTTTATATGGTTTCCTCTTTTGACACCTTTCACATGACAGAACATATGACTTTATATCTTTTCTCATTTTTGGCCAGTAATACACTCCTGTATTTACTCCTAATTTTGTTTAGTGTTTTTGAAAAACTGATATGCCCGCTTAATAAACTATCATGATTATCAATTATTACTTGTTTAATAAACTTTGAAGGTAAAGCTAGTGCGTATACAGGGATTTGTCTAAGTTTTGTTTTGTAATATAATATATCATTATCTTTTATTTCATAATTGTCGGCCTTATTTAAATAAAACGAATTTGATGAGATAGGGTTTTTAATAGCTCCTATAATGTTATGCAAGTACGCATCGTTTGCTTGTTCTACAGCGATATTAATAGGTTGAACAAGATTTATTTTAAAAATATCATTTTTAATATTCGAATTTAAAATATTAATTAGTTCACTTGAACTGGGATAACGCGATAGATGATCCGCGGCCCTATTAAAAATACCTTTTTTATATTTTACCTCAAAATCATAGCCCATTAATTTCGTTCGTATCCTGTTTACAACGTTAGATTCAGTTTTTATGTTCATAAAACTTGTCAAGTTTTTATGATCAGTCCAAACCTCAATCTTCCTACCGTGAACATATTGCCTATAGTGGGTAAACGCGAAATGAATAGCTAAAACCTCGAGTTCCATTGCGGAATAATTGGACTCGGCGGGCGTTAACTTTTTAGACGCGTAAGAAATTGGATGAATTTCGTTGTTATCATTACGTTGTTGAAATATAACACCTAGACCTAACTTACTAGCATCTGTTACTAGTATAATTTCCAAATTTACGTTAAAATGCGCGAGGAGTGGAGGTGTCGTAAGTTTAGACTTTAGCTCTTTAAATGCTGTTTCATGTTCAGTTAACCATTTAATTTTTTCATTTTTTGTTTTAAATTTACCCTTAGTGAGATCTGTAAGAGGTTTTGCCAGTTTACTAAAGTTAGGAATAAATTTTCTGAAATAATTGGCAAGTCCTAAAAAACTACGAAGTTGTTTAATAGTGTTAGGGGAAGGGAATTTTTTTACCGATTCAATGCCCTCATCGGTTGGCCTAATGCCTTTCGAATTTATGATATTACCGAGTACTTGTATTTCCTCGTATCCGAATTTACATTTTGATGGCTTCAATTTTAGATTATACTGTCTAAATCTTTGTAATGTTATATCTAACGAATATAAATATTGATCGAAAGATTTTCCAAAAACTGTGCAATCATCTAAGTAGCAAATATTATTTTTATAAGTAAGACCTCCCATAATTTTGCACATAGCGGCCTGATATATTGCTGGAGCATTATTAAGTCCCATTGGAAGTCTTTTGAATTGAAAATGTCCCGTATCAGTAGAAAAAGCTGTATATTGTCGAGAATTTTTAGATAGTTTGAATTGATAAAAACCACTGGATGCGTCTAATAATGAAAAATAGTGGTTACCAGCTAAGCAGTCATATATATTTTGAATTATCGGCATGGGAAAACTTTCTTTTAATAAAATCGAATTTAATTTTCTATAATCTAAAACCATGCGATACTCCTTAGGGGTGGCCCCTTTTTTGTCACCCTGTGGGAGATTTTTACCTACTAAAAATACCGGATTACTATATGGACTATTTGACGGTTCTATTATGCCGGCCTTTAATAACTCGTTAGTTTGTTTTTCTACCTCGGCCCGTTCTTTAACGCTTAACTTGAAATTCGGTAAATTTATTATTTGATCGCGATTTAATTTTAATTCAATATCAGGTAATTTTACCTCGCCCAAGTCGAATTTAGTCTTTGAAAAAATTTCATTATAATTATTCAACAACGTTTCAAGTTTTTGTTTTTTATCGTGAGATAAAGGCGGTNTTCAACAATGTTTCAAGTTTTTGTTTTTTATCGTGAGATAAAGACGGGTTAATATCGAATTCTACCTTTTGTGAAACGTCTGCTAGAGAAGATGTTGTTTCTTTTTCCGCGAAACATGTTTCGTTAACCTGAGATTCGAAGTGTACGTCTGGTGTTGACGCATCATTTTGTTTGAAGTGTTCGGTAAAATCATAATTTTTTTGTCTGGAGTTTAGAATTTTACGCCTGTCGGCGACTGAAATATTGTCATTAATATGCACAATTGTTTTAATATTAAAATTAACACTAGAATTTTTTACGTATTCTAATGGAGACCAATGACAGTGGGAAAATAAAACAAACACGTTATCTCGATCGAATTCTGTGAATGCGATAACACTTACGTCCGAACAATTGTTATCTTGGGAAAGTACAATTAAATTTTTATTGTAATATGACGCGACGGCTGCTAGATCTTCTGCCTCAAGCCAGACAGGCTGACTTGCAGAATCTACGCCTAGTAATACTTGAATATCATGAAAATTAACATTAATATTTTTATTTTTCAACACCTCTACTAATGTATTTACGCCGCAAAAGCCGTCTTGTGGGATATTTTTTGAAACCTGCATATTCGCCGCTGTGGACTCAATGGAAACATTGGTAGAATCTTTGTGTGAAAGAATATGATTTGCGACATTGCTAGAACTGAATTTTTCGAAGAGTACGGTCACCCTATGTGGTCCGTCAAATAAAATAATTTTCGAATCATACATATCAATATTAGCCTTATATTTGTGTAGAAAACTATTACCTAAAAGATTATACCCATTTAAGTTTTTAACGACAGCGCATTCAATAATAAAACTATGCTCACAGAAATTTACTTCAATTGAGGTTGTACCTAATAAATCTAAAGGGGACCCATTTGCTGTAGTAAGGGTCGCGTTTTGGGCTGGAATAATATCATGATTCATGGGAAGTGTAGCGCTACTTATTATGCTAATCGATGCCCCCGTATCAATAAGAAACTTTGACTCAATACTATTTAATTTCCCAATTATTATAGGTTGAGGGACCGATGCGCAATTTGAAAAAATGTTAAAACAATTAGAGACACCTGTGATATTTAAATTATTTTGCGCTAATGTTGCTTTCGTAATGGGAGCTGGTGATTGAACTTTTTGGCTAGGTCGCGAAAGAGTGTCAAAATTCGCCCTAACCATCGAATTTTGACTTATTCGTTTTTTTGAGTTTGCTGCGGGCGCCGCTGATTCGGGGCCCACTTATTAGTAGACGGACCTCCTGCGCCCTGATTTCGCCCACCATTATTATTGTTATAATTTTGACCTGTATTATTAGAAAATCTGTTATTATTATAAGAATTATTATTATTAAAATTATGATTGTTTCTGTAGTTACCATTATTATTATTATTAGAATTGTAAAACTGACCGTCTGTATTTCGATTTGAATTATTGTAATTTTGATATTTATTATTATATCTAGTGTTATTGTTAAAATTATTACCATTGTTGTTATAGTTTTGATTTGTATAATTATTTTTGTTGTTGTATGCCATATTACCTTTATTAAAATATGTATTATTATTTTTATTATGACTCGAATTTTGTTTATTAACCTTTGCATATTTATTATTGAATCTTGGAGTACCGTTAACCGTTAGTGTTAAAAGATCTATTTGCTTTTGCATTTTGTCTATCATTTTATCTTTGTCATTCATTTCCGTTAGCCCTGCATTCCTCTCTAGTCTTTTGATATTTTCCTCAAGTGCCACAAGTGAATCTAAGTCCATTGTTCTCAACTCTTTAACAATTTCTTCTGGTAAACCTTTCAAAATATACCTTATTACCTCCCTTTCTGTCATATTTTTATCTATTCTCCTGCACTCTTCTTTTATTTTTAGCAAATACTCTTGTACTGTTTCCGAATCACTCTTTCTCCTAGATTCTAAATTTTGACGTCTCATTCGAAGTCGTGCGTCTGAATTATAAAACTTTATCATTGTATTTTTTGCCTCATGCCAATTTAAGTTTGGGTTTTCGGATTCGATAGCCTCAAAAACCGTTTGAGCCGTGTCACATAATGAAAGGGGCAACATTATTAATTTCTCCGCGTCATCCCACCTATTAGCGGTTGCTACCCTTTCGAAATTAACGAAGAATCTATCCGCGTCCTCTGTTAAGTTTCCTGAAAATGTTTGGGGTGTTCTAATTGCGTTTATGGCCATAGTAGTTATTAATTTAACTGGTTTATTTTCTAAAAGTTTTGATTGCGCAGAAATAGGTTTAGGTTCTACGGTGACCTCGCGTGAAATTTCTGATGGTTTAGCTAAAGGAAATTCGACAACGGTTTTGTCGAGATCGGTAGGGGTGTTCGATTCACTCGAAGAAGCGCTTTTTGTGCTTAGCGGGACCGACAGAGTACTTGAAATTTTATCAAGTTTTTCTGCCTCGGAGTCCGAATCAGATTCAAATTTTTCTGAGAGGGGTGGTTGTTTGAAAATAGAACGTAATTTATTTATCAAATCTTTGGTGTGACTATTTATCGGCTGTTCTGCGTTTAAAAATGACAAAATATTAAGTAATTCCCCTTTTGTACAATAGCAAAAATAATACCCTTTCGTATCTTTTTTTAAAATTTCAATTTTTTCTAAAAGAGAAATTTGCTGGAACTGTTTCGGTAAATAGAGCCGTTTACTTTCTCGTTTATAAACTTCGAATATAGTGCTTTCGTAAATTAAAGTTGCTCCTACTGGAAATTTTATAAAAGCGGTATGATCAAAAGCCTTAGAAACAGAAATACCCCTTTTCTTTCCAAATGAACTAATAACCTGATCTGGTGTTAGTTCCAAAATATTACTATCAAAACCTAATAGATTCCAAACTCTTTCGGTAATTCTACAAGTTTGATTATTAAAGGTGCGTTTTAAATAATAACTATAGAGAGGCATATAAACGTATATAAAAGATTATGTAACTCAAAGACTTAATTTATAGTTATACCTAACTATACAATTGTTACTATTATAATAAAGTGAGCCAATAATAAATAAAAAATATTTAATTTATAAATTAACCGTGAAAAGCGGTATATAAAAATTGTAGTACACTTAGGGGGGGATCCCTCACTGAAAGTTTAAAATAAAACAGAGAGATCGGCGCCTCCACCAATTGTTACGTCGCTATTTAGGGGTTTAGCCTAAATGCCCGTCGACAGTATTCTAAGGGACCAACGGGGGATAGCTGGCTAGGCTATATCTACCTTAGGTACTGAAGTTTCCTATTTAATTTATATTCCCTTAGAGGAACTACCAAGGGTCGCACTACAATATATATATATAACACTTTAGGTTAACAACGATATAAATAAATATTTATTAAGCAATTGAAATATTAAATGGATAATACAACCTGCTGGACACCTAGAGATGATATAATCCAACAGGGAGCTGACGGCGACACACACACACACTATAATATACGGGGTAGCGAAGTTAAGTTAATTATCAGGCAAAAGTAGTGATCGCGAAGATGGTAAAATGTCAACTGTCGATAGGGATATCTATTATGGCACATTGGCCGTGAATTGCAAAAAGTGTTTATGTGTGCAGTCCACCCTCCTGTTAGTATTGCTGTATATATATATATATATATGTCTATTAAACGGTACAACGATGTTATGGGAGACAGAGATATGGGCACATGCAAATGTGATCGTATCAAATTTTAAATACTTATGTAAATGGATTGGCGTGGGCTGTACGCGGTCGTACCCTCATAGCGTAATGTAGGTAGGTACTTTACTAGTATACTACAATATGACGTAATAGTCGTATAATTTCTCTTTTTGTTCATAATATATTATTCCCGGAACGTCAAGGCGCAGTTTGGTGTGTCCTTATCGTAGTTTCGTATAAAATTTATACATATTATATTTATAGTATAAATATAAAATGTACGACGTACCAGACGTATATAAGTATTGATAATTTAATGATATGGTGTAATTCTATATTTAAGTTAATTCTATATTCTAATTTAATATTCAAGTGATTTAACTTTTTGTAATGGCTAAGCGCGTGTTACCGTATAGATGATTTTTTGAAGTTTGGTTTTACAGAAATAAAAACGATCGGGATTAGTGCGTCCTCAATGTGTATTCTGCCAACAAGTTTTGTCTAATGAATCAATGAAGGAAAATAAACTCAAGCGGCATCTCAACACTGTTCACTCCACATTGATAAATAAACCATTTCAATTTTGGAAGGAACTAAAAAATAAAATAAAACGTATGCGTCTTGATTGTCCGTCCAATACACTTACAGTCTCATTAAAAAAACAACAAAAGCATCATTTGACGTTGCTTAGAAAATTGCACGCTCTAAAAAGACTCTGACACGGCACCGCCCTACGCTCTAGGCTGGCGCTCACCCGTGTCTCCTCGATATCAGCCGTCCAGCTATTAATATGACAATCGGTTGTCATTGGTTGTCTCCCCGCCCTTGACACCGAGATAAAGCCGCTGCCCAGTATGGATTACGAATATTGCGGTCTGTAATTTTCCGACATTTACCTCGACAGGTTAATTCGACCTTCAAGAGTACTTGAACAAATTACAGTTGGAACTCGATCGATATATACCAGAAAACGCAGAGCTTAATAAATATATTTGTGTAAGAAATCCTTTTGAAGTTTCTGTTCACGAAGTTGGTGAAGACATTTGAGGGTTCCAAGAAAAAATTCTTGACCTTCAAGCCAGTCAAGTCTTAAAAGAAAATTTTTCAAAAATGTGTTTAACGCAATTTTGGGCACAACTAAAAGATAAACAGATTTTAACAAGAGAATCCGAAAATGCATTACTACCATTCCCAACCACGTACTTATGTGAAGCTGGGTTTCCTACATTAGTTGTCATCAAAACAAACTGTTAAATGAATACGAGCAAACACAATCCGATGTAACAGCAGACCGGATGGACTTCTCCCAGTCAAGCCGGAAAAGCTGGGACCTATTAAGGAAGCTAGGCGCTACTCAACCTACCAGAAAAGAAAATGGCACCACAGCAAACGTAGTTTCAAGTAATCTTTTCAAAACCTCAAACATTAAACCTACAAAACAAAGGAACATTATGATAAAGAATGAATACAAAAATGAACTAGACATCTGTGAAGAAAGATCTGCTCTAATGAACGACTTTATAGAAGAGAAAGTTCGTCTCGCCTTAAAAAATGTCAAAAATGGGAAAGCGGCAAGTGTCGACGGAATACTACCGGAATTTATAAAATACCTAGGTCCTAGAAGTAGACTTTGGCTTGCACGATTTTTCACGTCGGTGGCCATTAAAGGGACTCTCCCTAAAGCATGGTGCGAAGCGAGAGTTGTAGTCCTCTTGAAGCCAAATAAGCCGGGAAATGATCCGAGAAATTATAGACCAATTTCGTTGCTATCAGTAATATACAAGCTTTTTGAGAGATTACTACTAAGGCGAATATCTCCACTATTAGAACGTACAATACCCATGGAGCAAGCTGGTTTTAGACGTGAGAGAAACTGCTGTGAACAGGTGTTAGCTCTAACGACCTATGTAGAAAACGGTTTTCAAAATAAGATTAAGTCTGGGGCCGTCTTTCTCGACCTTTCGGCGACTTACGACACAGTATGAAAAAGAGGCCTATTACTCAAATTAGCAAAAAATCTTAAATGTAAAACTACTCTACGCCTATTAGAACAAATACTTTCTGACAGAAGTTTCAAAGTCAACCTAAATGGTGAGGTAAGCCGAAAAAAATCTTACAAAACGGGTTACCACAAGGGTCAGTACTCTCACCGACTTTGTTTAATGTATACACCGTCGACATTGAGGTAACCAAATCCAGGAAATTCATCTATGCAGATGACATAGGTCTAGTAGCCCAAGGAAAGACCTTTGAACAACTAGAAGAGATCCTGAACAAAGACCTAGATGTTTTACAAAATTATTTCAAAAATTGGCATCTGAACTTAAATGCTAATAAAACAACAGCAGTGGCCTTTCACCCGAATAATAGTGAGGCAAAAAGAGAACTGAAACTAAGAATTGGAGAAGTCAATATTGCAAATGAAGAATGTCCTAGGTAGGACGCTTACTTTTAGACAACACTTAGAAACAACAAAAAACAAAATAAAATCACGAAACATCATATCCAAACTAGCTGGGAATACCTGGGGATGCAGCGCAGGCACTCTGAGAACCTCAGCTCTATCCTTAGTATATAGTGTAGCTGAATATTGCGCTCCCGTATAGACGAGAAGTGCTCACTGCAAGAAAATTGACGTTCAGCTAAATACAGTAATGAAAACAGTCACAGGTACAGTAAGAATCACTCCAACAAATGGCCTGTTCTCTCAAACATTGGATCTCCGGAAATCCGTAGACAATTAGCTACACAATGTATGGTTAGTAAAATTAAAAAGAACATTAACCTGCCTATCTATAATGACATAGAACATCACCCAAATAAAAGGCTAAAATCCAGAAGCCCTATTTGGGAAATAAATACAAACGATAACGATTTAAAGGCTGAATGGAAAAGAATATGGTTAGGGTCTGAGGTACGAAATTCATCACTGGTCGAAGATACGACGGTGAGAGTACCAGATTTCAATTTACCACGTGCCTTATGGACCACCCTAAATAGTATAGGAGCCAACCAGGGAAAATGCAATTATCTATTACACAAGTGGGGTATGGTGGAATCCCCTTTATGTAGTTGCGGGCAAAAGCAAACCATCAGACACATAGTAGAAGAATATCCATTAATGAAGTTCTCAGGAGGTATTGAGGAAATCCATATAGTCAGCGAGGAGGCCATCAACTGGATGAAAAACGTAGGCGTGCGGCTGTGACCAAGGAAACGCCAATTAAAACAATGAAACCATGAGTTACCAAATTATTGTTACTAATAGTACTAATAGTTCCAATTAATTTTTTTCTTTTAGCTTCGATGCGAAGCGGAGAAGGTATTAATTTTACTATGATGTCTGTTGCCACTTTTTCTCAGCTCTCACTGGACCGATTTCTTTCAAAAATACGTCAAAAGATCACAAATCGTATCTAGTTGAAGACATTACCCTTAAAAATTGAAAAAAATTCCCTCGTTCCCCGCAAATGGGGGAAATATCCAAAAAAATTACAAATTTAAAAATCGCTAATTTTCGAAATTTTTTCACTTTTTTTTCTTAAAACTTCCATAACTTTTTGAAAAATCAACAAATCAACATAATTTTTTTTTATACTAAAACCTTAGATATTTACCTTTCATTTGATATCATTTTTTTGAAAATCTATCACTTAACCTGCTCATTGGGGGGGATTTAAAATGGCAACTTTTTTACAAAAATTAATTTTTTCAACTTAATTTTTGAAAATGTTCCGGAAAGACTGCGTCCTTTAAACATATATCAAATTAAAGCTTATTTTATGTACTACAAAATGAAAAAAAAAAATTTGTCCCGACACTTTTTTTTCTACATTTAAACGGCTGCCGTAGTTAAAAAAACACTATTTTTGTGTTAAAATTTTCGATTTTCGATTTTAAATTTTCAACTTAAAAATGCTATAACTTTTTGAAAAATGTATATATCAGCACAAATTTTTTTTTTCTAAATACATTATAAGTACATCTTTCATTTGACATACTTTTTATTAAAATTGGACAATTTCCCCTTATATAGGGGGCGTTCAAAACTTAAAATATTGTAAAAAACATAGATCTTTTTCAACTGAACTTTTGAAAATGTTCCGGAAATACTGCGTCCTTTAAACATATATCAAATCAAAGGTTATGTTATATACTATCAAATGAAAAAAAAAAATTTGTCCCGACATCTTATCTTCTATGTGCAAATGGCTGTCGAAAATTTAAAAAAAAATGTAATGTTTGCGATAAAAATTACATTTTATCGGGATGTTTTTTGTACTTAAAACTGCCATAACTTTTTCAAAAATGAACAAATAAAAATAATATTTTTTTGTATTGAAACCTTAGATATTTCCCTTTCATTTGATATAATTTTTTTTGAAAATCTAACACTTATTCTGCTCACTGGGAGGATTTAAAATAGTAACTTTTTTACAAAAAATAACTTTTTCAACTTAATTTTTGAAAATGTTCCGGAAATACTGCGTCCTTTAAACATATATAAAATTAAAGCTTATTTTATGTACTACAAAATGAAAAAAAAAAATTTGTCCCGACGATCTATCTTCTATACGCAAATGGCTACCATATTGAAAAATATACTATTTTTGTATGATAATTATGGGTTTTGTATTTTATTTTAATAGAAGTTGATGTTGCTTTTGCAATTATCCATCAATTTTTTAAAATTAAACACTATCTACAGATTTGCATCGAAGCGTTTCTTATGATAGTGATTTTAATCACTGTCAGATTAAATCTATACTGGACCCTACTATGCAATGTCTCTACTATGCCGCGACCCCACTGTGCTACCGTTTTTTTTATTATTATTGTAGTTTTATATTAATGTTATTCATTTATTATGTATTTTGAGCTTGCCGGAGCCATATGCTAATAGTAATATAAATAAATAATCAAAACAAAGTATATTGTTATCTTTTCACTCTAGATGCTTTTCTACAAATCTCTCTATGAAGGATTTTTTCATCCCTTTTTAAAATTTCTTCTATATTTCCCCTTTTTAAATTCGGTGATCCAACTTAAGTTATTAATTAGCGCTCTATTTCTAACCTTTCTCATTTATCAGTTTACTCCAGGTGGTTTGTATACATTAATAATATTAATTTCCTCAAATTTTATTTTTATAAGTGAAACATTGTTCTCCTATGTCGATATATGTTCCTAATTAGATGTATTATTTCTCACATAAGTTGCTGATCAATATTTTTTATAATAGGTGGCAGAAGCCAGAGTGAAACCTTCAACATGCTTGATAGCACGCTAGCGTTTTCAGCTTGAATTTCTAGTAGTACTAGTACTGCTATATTATTTTCAATTAGTAATCTCGATAAATAATCGCACTCTGACTGATTCTTTCGATGTTAATTTGGAAAATTCGGAGTTGAGGACCCGCATCCCGAGTCAGGGAGCCTCGAAAAGCGCTATTTTGACGGTGAGTATTGTTATTATTTTTGTAAACCAGGAGATCCATCATATGGGCAGTTCGGTGGTCATTGTTAATAAATCTTTAACCGTCTGCGTCGTTTTTCTTTACTAAGTTTACTTTTATTTAATTATGTTCATATTTTTAAGTTTGTATGGTAATTTTAAATTGATCAATTTGCTGTCAAATACATACTGTATTTTTATATGAATTATATGAATTTTTTTATTATGTATTAATATGAATTTCTTCTCACGAGAAGAGACTACAGTAATGGAATCCTTGATATTTATTGAAGTTATTGAATCTAAATGAGATAAACATTTTTTTTTAACTCAAAAAGAATTAAAAAAAAATTCAGTGCCACAGTCGTGAAAGACCCAAGTGTTACCGTCTCAAAAACCATACGTCAGATTCGTCACTTAATAAAAATGGAAATTTAGCTAGTTCAAATTTTAAAGTTATTTTTCTCGACTTCAAAGAAACAAAAAAATTTAAATATGTAATCAGTGTAATCATATAATATATATAATAATCAGTGTAATAATAAAATAAAATACAAAACCAAGAATTTTAACACAATAATAGCATATTTTTAAATACGGTAGCTATTTTCACCATGTATTCTCCTAATAAGATATTTTAAAATAAAATAAAATACAAAACCTAGAATTTTAATAGAAAAATAGCATATTTTTGAATACGGTAGTCATTTGCGCATGGAAGATAGGTCGTCGGGACAAATTTTTTTTTTNATGGAAGATAGGTCGTCGGGACAAATTTTTTTTTTTCATTTTATAGTACATAAAATAAGCTTTAATTTGATACATGTTTAAAGGACGCAGTATTTCCGGAACATTTTCAAAAATTAAGTTGAAAAAGTTATTTTTTGTAAAAAAGTGAAAAAATTTCGAAAATTAGCGATTTTTAAATTTGTAATTTTTTTGGAGTTTTCCCCCGTTTGCGGGGAACGAGGGAAATTTTTTCAATTTTTAAGGGTAATGTCTTCAACTAGATACGATTTGTGATCTTTTAACGTATTGTTAAAAGAAATCGGTCCAGTGAGAGCTGAGAAAAAGTGGCAACAGACATAAAAAAAAAAAAAAAAAAAANTGTTAAAAGAAATCGGTCCAGTGAGAGCTGAGAAAAAGTAGTGTCAGACACAAAATAAAAAAAAAATAAATAAATAAACACATAATGGTAAAATTAATACCTTCTCAGCTTCGCATCGAATCTAATAAACAAATATAACATTTTTATTACTATTTATTCAAATTTTTCCTTACATTATATGAGTTTAAAACTTTTCATGTGTGTATGTGAAAATTAGAACGTTTTTTTAAGAGAATACATTAAAAGTACACTATTCATGTATTATTTAAAACATGATAAATATTGAAATTGATATTTAACTATCAATGATAATTATGTTTATACAAGTTAACCATTTTTTAAAGTATCTAATTGTTTCATGTGATAGTTTAAAATGTAATAATATATTTTGATATTTTACAAAATTTAATATTTTTAAGGACTTTTCTAAAATTAAAACAAATAACTATTTGCTAGAGATTTACTCTAGAACTTTTTCCTAAAAGAAATATAAAATCTGTTAATAATATTTATTTAACATACTCTCACAGCAAAATATTAAAGTATATCACTAATCTTAAATTATAATTATTCCAACAGTTTTTGTAAATTAATCAAACACACCTATTTCAAAGTTATGAATAATTAATTTTTCGATTGGATAAGTATTAACTTTTGAAATTAACTGTAATGAATGTTTATCGTTTAAGATGAACTGACTAGGAGTGTTGATCAATCTGAAAGTAACCATGATTGTGATTAGATCCCTATAACCATTATTATTGACATCAATTACATCCACTGAAAAATGATTACAGTTATTTTAATTGAACTTCTAGAATTTTCGTTTCATAAAAATCTTACTTGACTGTTTTTGATAATTGATATCTGGTTGACATTTCAAATTTTTTTCGCATACCTGAATTATCTGTTTACGACTTAAGTATTTAACATGGAAATCTTCTATTCTCGATGAATTATATGATATAATAAGTATTTTTTCTTCAATATGTTTAATTTTTTCGATACTAGAAAGTCGTTTTTCATCATTCTGAAATAGAAATAAAAAAGATATTAAGTTATGATGAATAATATATCTTATTTCATTTTTCTTATGCTTAGTAAAAAGAAACTTTTCTTCAATACCCAAAAAGAGTTTTAAGAAAATTAATTTTGAATAACATTAATATAATATTTTATTTTTTACCTTCGATGCAAATAGTATTAATTTTACCATGATGTGTTTATTTATTACTTTTTAATTTTTTTTTTGTGTCTATCACTACTTTTTTTCAGCTCTCACTGAACCGATTTTTCTCAACGATATGTCAAAAGATCACAAATCGTAATTGAAGACATTACCCTTAAAAATTAAAAAAATTTACCAATTTCCCCGATAATGGGGAAATCTACAAAAAATTTTGATAAACAATTTCTTTCTCATTGTTACTTTTTTCATAAATATAGATATAATTTCAATTTTGGGTAAGTTGAGGCAAATTATTTATGATATATTTGAAAGAGTACATACATATGCTTTATATAAAAAAAAATAAAATCTATCAAAACCCCACATCTTTTTCTTGTTAATATTTGTAGTTTTTCGACTGCATACATCATTAAGGGTATAATAAAATCGTAAAAATGAAGATAAATTAAATAAAATTACTCCTACTAGACTAAACCGTTTAAAATTTAGTTTCAGTAGAGAAATACAATTATTAATTTTAATNGAAGAAGAAGAAGAATAGTTATATATTTCATAAAAAAATTGAATGAATTGGCCAAAACGAAAAATTTGTAATTTTCATGGCGCGTTGAAAAATACAAACAGAACGGGTCGCCAAACCTACTGGGCGAGATAATGTATTGTCGGACCGCAGAAGAATTTAAAAATAAAAATATTGTATATTGAAAACAATTTAAACAAAAATTAAAATAAAAAAATTGCATTTGATGTCCATTGAGTCGTTGATAGTTGATGTACACCATAACCTCAGGCCGTTACCCGTACCTTATAAACTAGAAGAGTTGATTTTTTAGCTTCGATGCGAAGCTGAGAAGGTATTAATTATACCATGATGTGTTTTTTTTTTTATGTCTGTTGCCACATTTTCTCAGCTCTTACTGGACCGATTTCTTTCAACAATACGTCAAAAGATCACAAATCGTATCTAGTTGAATACATTACCCTTAAAAATTGAACAATTTTCACTTGTTCCCCGCAAATGGGGGAAATCTCCAAAAAAATCGGTAAATTTTGTCATTTTTTTCACTTTTTTTAACACGCTTAAATTAGTTTCACCTGTATGTATGTATGTATGTTTGTAACTCTCCAAGCGCCACGTGTTATCGCATATTCCGTCGTCTATGGCCTAGAGACTAGACTGTCATAACGCATTCACCCCACCCCACGCCATGCTCAACATACAACGGCAACACTATTCCTATATAAATTTATTTTTGGTTATCGTACCCGTAGACGCGTGATTGTCATTAATATTATATATATTTAACAAATTTTATTTTGACTAACCAATACCATCCGCGTGTCATACGGCTTACGTATATATTCCTACCACCGTTTATATCTCAGGTATAACGTTATTCCGACCCGCCCGTCCACAAAACACGGCTGTACCTAGTGTATGATACGTTTACGTACTTGAGTCGCATTATTTGTGTATATATATAAATTCTAATTACTATTAAAATTTATTTATTAATACCCTTTATTTTAATTAAGAGATATAAAGTATTCATTCCTATTACGAGGGATGATTTCCGTATCGTCATTTTTCGTCACTACCTCCACGTTCCGGGAGTGAGTTATTTGCGTGCCTGCTGCTTTCCTTGGATGTGGTAGTCGTTTCTCTGACATCCTCTCCGGAATTAAACTCTGATTTCCCGTTACCCGTAACAACCATGATAATGATACTAACTACTATCATAAAATGAAACTAAAAAGTGAAAAATAAATATCGTTTAAAATTATAAAATAAAAAACTAAAAAACACGCTTTTAAAGCACATCGAACTAAAAAGTTAAAAATAATTATTTTAAGTTTATTTTAAGATTTTTATTAAAAATAGTCGAATCAATGTAATTATATCGCATTAAAACATGTCTGATTATTACTAATCAATATTCAACGATATTTTTTACAAGATCATTTATGGGTGGTCGTAATAATCATTTACATTGATAAATAGAGGTCCGCTATTTTAGTAAAAATGTATTTTTTTTTATTACGGCGTCGACGGAGCCTGTCTTATACTCTTTATTTATTTTATTTTTTACTCATATTTTTTATTTTTGTAATTTTTTTTCCTCTCAAAAATCAACTCTCCTAGTTTATAAGGTACGGGTAACGGCCTTGTATAAGGTCATCCCTGATCACTATGGTTATGTGACAACTGTCACGAGGTTTTGGTGTACATCAACTATCAACGACTCAATGGACATCAAATGCAATTTTTTTATTTTAATTTTTGTTTAAATGGTTTTCAATATACAATATTTTTATTTTTAAATTCTTCTGAGGTCCGACAATACATTGTCTCGCCCAGTAGGTTTGGCGACCCGTTCTGTTTGTATTTTTCAACGCGCCATGAAAATTACAAATTTTTCGTTTTTGGCCAATTCATTCAATTTTTTTATGAAATATATAACTATTAAAATTAATAATTGTATTTCTCTACTGAAACTAAATTTTAAACAGTTTAGTCTAGTAGGAGTAATTTTATTTAATTTATCTTCATTTTTACGATTTTATTATACCCTTAATGATGTATGCAGTCGAAAAACTACAAATATTAACAAGAAAAAGATGGGGGGTTTTGATAGATTTTATTTTTTTTTATATAAAGCATATGTATGAACTCTTACAAATATTATAAAAATTTGTCTGGGACAGATAAGTTTAGTGATACTATTCAAATTGTTGAATTCAACAAATAGCACACGTATACTTTATGTTAAAAAACTTGTATTTTAAAATTAATTATAATTGTAAAAAACTGATTTTACGACATATAATTTAAAAAAATAAAAAAATGTGATTTGAGTAAATACTATATTTATGTTTTGTAATAATTTTTGACATTAAAAAATATAAAATTAAATATAGACATAAATAAAAAAAAATCTGTATCTCTTTAAAAAAGGGGATTGAAAACTGAATATTAATTTTTAATTCAGCAACCTCATAAACATATATTTTAATATATAATATTAAAAATTTACTAAAATTGAAAAAGGTACCCATCATTACCACCTAAAAGGAGATGAAATTAAAAAGTAACGGTTGAATTTGAAATCAGCGATCTCAATAACAAATATTACGAATATATTTTTTTTAAATTATTCTTAAAAAAATACATATTACCTTCATCATAAATTTTTTTAAGTATAATAGTTGAAAATATGTTAAGTTTTTTTTTTTATTAATTTTAATTAGTATAATAATCTTGTTTAAAATACGTTTTGAAAACAGATATTATAAATGAAAATGATTTTAAAAAATCTATCCTGATATTTGGTAAACTAAAATAAATTATACGGAAGTCTAAAAGACCTTAACAATACTTATATTTAATTATGATGGTAACTAGTGATCACTTTTTTTTACAATCCTTCTTAATATAATATAATTAATAAGTAGTCAATCATAAAATTATTTTTATTCGAATAATAAATGCTCAGAAAATATATAAGTAGGTATAATAATAACGACTGTTGATTTTACAACCGATAACTAATACTTGTTTTTCCGACTCTTACGCATAGATCACGCGGAGTGACTAAAAGTTTACAATATTCAAAAGTCATTTTATCGCAACGATATCAAGTACTTTTTTTTAACGTCGACGATTAACAATGACTTTTTATCTAATTACAAATTACACAATAAATTGGTAACTCATGTAAAATCAGATTACTTAAAAAAATCTTGAAACAAAAAATTCATATTTAAGGTTTTTAGCTAAACATACTGAATGTAAAAATTGTTTAATAGTAAATTGGATTAGCAGATGATAAAATTAATTTATAGAACTCTATTTACTTTTTGTATCATCAAACTGGATTATCAATAATGCAAAACCAACTTGTAATTGTGCATAATTTTTTAATAATCAATGCGTCAAAAAAACATGATCTTAATCATGTTGAACTTATCATCAAATATTGGTAAAAATCCTTTAATTTTAGCAATTTAAACAAATATCTCAAAATTATGCCACTTCAAAAAACCTTTTTAAAATTAAATACTGTCAAATTTAAAATATTATCATGAACAGTTTTTTAAGAGAAGATTAAAATTATTTACCTTACTTTTTGAAAACTATTCAAGGTAATTAGTTAACAACGCCTCACGAAATTTTACGAAAATATAATACCTTATACCTGTTTGTTTTTTGTTTCTGCAACAATAATGATTCTTTGTTGGGTTACTCTATTAGAGAAATTGAATTTCTAGTATTATCCTTATGTCTAAAACTATCATCAAGTTTTTTTTTTTTTTAAATAACAATACTAAAAATGTTTTTTTATTAAATTCTCCTTCAATTACCTATCTTTTATGTTTAAGGGGATTGAAGAAATAATGATTTATGTATACATAACGCGAATCCGTCCATTGAATTGCCTATTGATTTATTAATTTAAACGTACGTTTTCAATTAATAGCATTTATGCCTTAAATATAATTTTTTTTTCAAATATTATAGTAAAATATCTCCTCAGTTTCGCACCAAAGCTAAAAAAAAGTAAAAGTTGATGACATTTTAAGATATAATGGATGATTGTAGAAATTTAACTTTTTTTTATAGAGTAGCTAAAAAAATCATTATTGTTACAAAAAAAAAAAAAA